TAGCAGAGAACGAAATTTCCTTGAAAATGTGCTGTTGTCAACACTTAGACCTTCTGAGGTACTAATTTTCACTAGGCAGGAAAGAATGACAAACATCTTGACTGCTATGTGGGCAGAATATTTATATACATACATGTGCATGTGTATATACAAAGCCTTGTAGTTCTAAAGAAGTTACCATTGAATTTCAACCAAATAGTACAAATTTCAACTGAAAGTTTAAGTATCCTAAAATTAATTCTAGTGTTGCCAAGGAAGGAAGACTGTAGTCTTTTTTTTTCCTAAACCAAAGGTCACTTAAAGAGTTCTAGCATAGCATGCACAGACAGTCCAGACATAAAAATAACACTCATTTCTGGAAGCAAGAACACTAGTAGAAATAAGAGATATAAAGGATATTGGGAAGAGATGGTTGTCTCCACGGGATGAGAAGTTTGGTAGGAGTCCACCTAAAAATAAACAGCAGTTCCACACTCAGGAACTCAATAACTGCATCACAGAACTTGATACAAATCTCTTGGTAACCCTTCTCACTTCTGACAGGCAATCTCATGTCTTTTGAAACTATTCACAGCTTGTGAAAATTTATTCTTTGGTCTTGGTGTAAATCAAGTATAAATGGTTTCCTTTACATTTTAGGGTCACATGGTTTCCAAGCTCTAATCTTAATGACGTCCTGGCAGACTGCATAACAAGCAAAAGTAGGAGTTGGATAACTGTGTTACACAGAGAATACAACCAATAGTGGAAGAGAATTTCTTATTACATGAAGTTTCTAGTGTAAAATTATAAAACAACCTGTAATCATTGTTGATTTAAAATATTTTTAAAAGCACTGTTTGATAGACTTATAATAAAGAAACTGACCGGAAAATGAATAAGTCAGGATTTTCTAACTGGCTGAAATGCCTGCCAACAAATGAAATTCCCTGTATTGGTAAGACACTTCAGCATTTGTAAAGACCATTACACTGGATTTTGTTGGAGAACAGTTGTACTTTTCAAGATTTTTCTCCTTGAAAATATTAATCCTCTTAATATAAGAGTATCTGCACTCTCCATTTGTATGATGGGTATATTTTTGTTACCACGTTTCTGTGAGGGACCAGAGACCAGCTCATGCATGTAGGTGTGCAATGACATAGCGAACAAACTGCTGCTCTTTCAGCAGCACCCAGTTAGTACAGCCAAGTCAATCTGTGTCTCTCTGAGATATTATCAGTTTCATGCACAGCGTATTTAATTAGTCTCCTGCTCTAAAAGCCAGCCCTGGGTGTCACTTAATAGACGCATCTATTACACAATGGAATGACTGGAAGAATTATGCCTTCTCATTATGAAGCAAGTCTTGAGAAATTGAATTACTGAACTCTTAGCCACCGAAAGTACCCTTTCACCCTTTTTATGTTGCCTCAAGGAAGAGCCCAGAGCGCCACCTTCTGTTTAACGGCCAGAATCACAATTTCAGCTGCTGCTAACTGCTGCAGTAACAGCCATTCACAGCCAAGTCGATCGGGTTGGGTACCAAAAAGAAAACCGTTTTCTTATTAAACAGCTCGGTATGTCATACTTGTCAGACCTACAGCTCTTCTAGAAATGCAACCATATGAACAGCTAGAGCATAGCTGCCCAAGTGGCACACATCCAGGTCCTGACACAAAGGATATTTTTCATAAATTTCAGCAAGCATCCAAATGAGTAGCACCTCATACATTTTTTGCAGCACCTCATACATTTGTTCCATATTTCTTACTTAAATCTCACAGATCACTTGCAGCTATTGTCACAATTTCCATCCAGGAAAACAACACACAATACCCAGCGTGACCAAGGCTGAAGTGAAGATAAACAGACTTTGATAAAATTACTTCACAGACCTCACTGAAAATCACTCACTGGATTCTTGTAAAATCTGAACAGCCTTAAATTAAAGCAGTGTAATTAACAAATAAATATCAAATACAAAATCTGAGAGTACAGAGCAATTCACTCTAACACCTAATCCCCAAATATAGAGAACACAAGAGAGACTGTAAGGACAACGAAAATTCATTTTTAGATAAAAAATAGGAGTCTCTTTTCATCTGTGTTTTGGAGCAGGGCAAGGAGAAGAGGAACAAGAAATGAGTCATAGGCATTTTGTGTGTTGATTAGGCATCTTTGTAACAAGAAGAATAACAAAGAACTTTTTATTTGTATCTTGGACATATGGGCTGCCAGAGTATTTTCTGTCAAAGCTACAACTGAACTTGTAATATGTTTGGCTATAATCAAAAGAGAAATAAATGTAATATTAATTCAGACCTTAAACAATGGATTAATTTGCTTTGTCTATTTGAAAGACCATAAATAACTCATCACTGCCCACTTTAACAATAATGTGAGCTATGCCTATTTCTGTAAACCTCTGCAGAACAACCATCATTTCAGCAGGCTGCTCCAGAACAAATGGATCCAGACCAACATAGAATTACAACCTAGAAACTGTTGTAGTAATCGCCACCAAACTGAAAACAGGTGGTGGCCTTAGAATTCAAACTGGATTAAGTGCAATCAGAAACACAAACATTCAGTGGCTCACAACAAAAATCTTTCATTATGGTAATAATGAATCAAGTATGGTGACATCATACTAATCAATTATACTCCTTGTATTACCAGTGACCTTGAGGCCAATTCAAACACAGTGTCCTCTCATTCAAGTCACTTTTCAAATAAAAGAAGCAATTGTGAAGGATATTTTCATAATACTGAGAATAATGTGCCTTCACAATCATTAAGAGAAAGAATAAAAAATATAAGCTTCAAACTACACAGAAAAGAATTTTAACATTACTAATTCTTAATTACTCTCTTAAAAGGGTCATCGCTGACATTCTGATAGTGGAATAAACACAAAAGAAGTATTACCACCTTTCTGTAAATGCTTAAAAAGCAGTTGGGTACAATGATCCTAAAATAAGTCCTTAAATTTCTGTATTTGAACCAGATACAGAAATTGAATCAAAAACCAAATTGAAACCAAAAACAGAAATTGAAATTGAACCAAATACAGAAATTGAACTAAACACCATAGAAAAGCCAAACTACATTCTAGCATAATATCAGTGAAGTCCCCAAAGCATTGTAACAGAAATGCAGTGGGAAATTGAAGAGGCTGAAGTGAATAGGAAAAAAATGTGTTAAAAGTACAGCCCCGAGATACCAGTATTAGAACTGTTTCAACTTGTTTTCAAGTTACAAGCCATAAGTCTGAAAGCGTTGTCCAAATGCTTCTTGAACTCGGCAGGCTTGGTGCAGTTATCACTTCCCTGGGGAACTTGTTCCAGTGCCTGACCACCCTCTCAGTGAAGAACCTTTTCTTAATGCCACCCAGCCTGAACCTCCCCTATCACAGCTCCATGCCGATCACTTTGGGCCTGCCACTGTCACCACAGAGAAGAGATCTCCACCTGCCCCTCTGCTCCCCTCTTGAGGAAGCTGTAGGTTGCCATGTTGGCTCCCCTCAATCTCCTCCTCTCTAGCTTGAACAAATCAAGGGATTCAGCTGCTCCTCATATGTCCTGCCCTTCACCATATTTGTTGCCCACCTTTGGACACTCTCTAATAGCTCAAATCTGCAGACAGTACTCGAGGTGAGACCGCACCAGCGCACAGCAGAGCAGGGCAATCCCTTCCCTGGACTGGTTAGCGACACCATGCCTGATGCATCCCAGGGTATGGTTGGCCGTGCTGGCTGCCAGGACACCCTGTTGGCTCATACTCGACCTGCCATCAACCAGCGCCCAATGATCCCTTATCGTGGGGCTGCTCTCCAGCTGCCTGTCCCCCAGTCAGTATGCATATCCATAGCTGCCTCATCCTAGGAGAAGAATCTGGTGCTTGGTCTTGTTAAACTTCATGAGGTTGGTGATTGCCCAGCCCTCTAATTTGCCAAGATCTCTCAGCAAGGCCCCTCGTCCCTCAAGGGAGTCAATAGCTCCTCCTAATTTAGTGTCATCTGCCAACTTACTTAGTATGCACTTGACTCCTGCATTCACATCATTTATGAAAACGTTCAAGAGAACTGGGCCTAAAATTGAGCCCTGTGGAGCCCCACTAGGCACTGGTTGCCAGCCTGATGTAACCCCATTTAGTATAACCCTTTGAGCCCCATCTGCCAGCTGATTGTTCAGCCATTGTATAGTGTACTTGTCTAGCTGTATGCTGGATATTTTGTCCAAAAGGATACCGTGAGAGACAGTATCAAAATCACGACTGGTCTTTTGTCCCTGGCTTTCATCCTACAAGAGCCACCAGCAGTCTAAGACCCAAACCAGCTAAATTTTAATTATATGAAGTGGGAAAATTCAAAATATGTGAAACATTGAGTCAGAAGTGAATGAAACTTTCAGTTGCAGCTAAGTTCGGTAAGACCATGCAAGAAGTCTTCTTACTGTACTAACCCTTCCTCAGACTTCTCTGAATGGGTTTTCTTCTTGTTTTCTCTCATCCTTGTTTCTCCTCACTCTGTAGCTTCAAAAGACATGAGCCAACGTGTCGCAATACAGGTATCTGTTAAAGTAAGATAGTATTAATCTACCTTAGACGAAAGGGACAAACCCCAAACATTTATCAATGTTCTGTCAGTATGCAAAAGTCAGGTGTAAACTACTTAATTTAAAAAAAAAAAAAAAAAACAACAACAACAACTCAGAAAACAGGGAAAGAAGGATGACACTGAGATACGCAATCCCACACCTCCAGAAGGTAGAGGGGCATTTCGAACCCTTACATTTGCCTGGCCTTTGGAAAGCATCTGCTTCTGCGGGTACTTCCCAGCAGCGGGCCCGGCTGCGGCCGCAGCAGCGCGCACGGGAGCCCCCGGGGCGCCGCCCCCTCGAGCCGCCGGGGGGCGCAGCGCGGCACAGCGCCGCCAGGCCGCAGGGCGGCGCCCGCGGGCGGGGCGGGGCGGGGCGGGGCGCGGCGCCGCCGGGAGCTGCCCAGTCAGACGCCGAGGCTTCGGCGAGCCGCCTCGGATTGGGAGCGAGGCTCCCCGAGCCCGTCCAGTGGCCAAGCGGCGCCTGCGGAGCGGAGGCGCGCGGAGGGCGCGGGGCTGCGATTGGCGGGGACGCGCGCCGGCGGGATGGCGGCGGCGGGGCTGTGCGGCGCCGACTTCTCGGACCTGCGGGAGATCAAGAAGCAGCTGCTGAGCGTGGCCGAGCGCAGCCGCGAGCGCGGCCTGCAGCACAGCGGCAAGTGGTGAGCGCCGCGCCGGGCGGGCGGGCGGGCGGGCCCCGCGCTGGCGGCTGTCCGCGCGCTAACGGCTGTCTCCACGCAGGGCCTCCGAGCTGGCCTTCGCCCTGGAGCCGCTGCCGCTGAGCGAGCTGCCGCCGCCGCCTGCGCTCACGGAGGTACGCGCCGGGGGGGGGGGGAGGCCCGGCGGGCTGCGGCACCGGGCTGGCGGCCGGGATGCGGCGCCCGCAGCGCGCGGGGCGGCCCCGGGCCCGCCGTGTCCGCGGGAGAGGGAGCGGGAGCGGCCCCTGCGGCCCTTCCCGCGGCGGGAGCCGCGAGCTCGTCTTTAGCCCCGTCTGAAGCCGTTAAGGAAAAATGCGATAGAGCTTTATTTATTTTTTCAAGCTGTTGTGCACGAGGTGGTGCTGAGTGCCCATCCTTGCACGGCGCTGTGCGGGTCCCGTCCACCTTCCTTGTTTTGCGGTGTCCGAGCCCCAGTAGGCCTTGCAGGCGAACGCCCTCCTTTTCCCATTTTGCCCTGTCCAAGTGAGAGACTCTGTAAGCAAAACTGGAAATCATGCCACTTAATTTTGACTTTTTCACCTTCACTAAATTGTTGTAATACAAATTATTTTATGCCAGTAAACTCATCCTCCTTAGGGCACAAGAGAAGTAAGTTGTATCATCCCCGTCTCCACAGTGGTACCATACAACTCGTAGGTATAATCCTGCTGGGTTAAGTTACTGCAGTGTAACACGTCATAAATGCATTTCACAGGATGTTCTAGGTTGGGAGTGACCACTGGGTCCATCTGGTCCCACCCCACCCTGCTCCAGCAAGGCCACTTGGAGCAGGTTGTCCAGGACCACGCTGAAGCATTTTTTAGTATCTCCAAGGAGGGAGACAATGCAGCTTCTCTGGGCAAACTGTGCCTGTGCTCTATCACCCACACAGTACAGAAGAGCTTCCTGTTGTTCAGACAGAGCCTTCTGTGTTTCAGTTTGTGCCCGTTGCTTCCTGTCCTGTCACTGGGCAGCGCTGAGAAGGACCTGGTCATTCTTTGTACCTTCCCTTCAGGTACATTGGTGAGATCCCCCTGAGCCTTCTCTCCTCCAGGCTAAACAGTCCCAACTCTCTCAGCTTTTCCTCATATTAGAGGCGTTCTGGTCACTTCATGTTCATGATCCTTCACTGAACTCTCTCCAGTATGTCTATGCCTCTCCTGCATTCAGGAGCCTGGAACCAAACACGGTTCTCCAGGAGTAGCCTCACTGGTGCTGAGCAGAGGGGAAGGATTGCCTCTCTCGACCTTCTGGCAATACTTTGCCTAATGCAGCCCAGGACACTGTTAGCCTTCTTTGTGGCAAAGGCACGTTGCTGGCTCATGTTCAGCTTGGTGTGTACCAGAACTCCCGGAACCTTTTCTGTCAAGAAATTGTTCGAGGCATAGGTTCCAAGGAAATCTTTGCATTTAAATTGTCATGTTAATACTGTCCGATGTAGAATTCCTGAGTAGTTTTTTTTTAGTTTTTCATACTTGTTGAACAGCAAATTCTTGATGTCTGTCAACTTGCCACTGTGTATTTCCTAGAACCACTCTGTTTAATTTAAATGTTTCTAACCAGTCTGTATTCATTATGTCATAACTAGGAATCCAATCATATGAGGGAGTGGAGAGACTTTTTGGATGGTACTTAACTCATCTTTTGAGAATGAACAAAACTACAGTGTTTTTTGTTTTGTTTTTGTTTAGCTTTCAGGGCAGTTTCATTTATACACTTGTAACTAGGTGATTTTCATAAAGCATGGCAGAGCTTCTAAGGTCTTGAACTCTTCTGTGTTCCTGCAGGAGGATGCTCGTGATCTGGATGCCTATACATTAGCCAAGTCCTACTTTGATCTAAAGGAATATGATAGGGCTGCATATTTTCTTCGGGGCTGCAAGAGTCAGAAAGCTTACTTCTTGTATATGTATTCTAGATACCTGGTAAGACAGAAAGAAAAATTGCCTTTAAGCACTGAACTCCTCTGCTTCCTTTCCTTCCCCCATGTGGAATGTGCCAAACCTTATTTCTTTATCTATACTGTTTCATATGTCTGCCTAAAAATCCGAACTTACATATATATAGTGGGGGTGGGGAAGAGGAGAATGGGGAGGGTTCTTGTTGGAACTGTCTGTGGTGTTCATGAAAATTCAGTTCACGTGCTGCTACCAGAACTGCAGCAAACATAAGGAATATGCTGTTGTAAAATAATCTTGGTTTTCCTCTGTTTTCCACAGTCAGGAGAAAAGAAGAAGGATGATGAGACAGTGGATAGTTTGGGTAAGGCTCTGGTGTCAAGAAATGCAAGTTAATATAATGAATCTTGCAATAATGCATCTTCATTTAAATCATTTTGGTTTCATAACTTTTCCCTTGATTTTTGGGTAATAGCGGGCTGTAACATAATTTGCTTTCATTCTCTTTGTTGGCTTAAGACAGGTTAAAGATTTTTATCTTTCAGTTCTTCTGTTACAGCGGATCATTGGACGTTTATTTTTAAAACAAAAAACAATAGTGACATGCTGGGAAGTTTTCTGGTCATGTCAGTGATGATTCTAAATATACTCTATAGAGTTCATAGTTAATATGGAAAGACTTGAACAAAAGCTTGCTGTTTGACTTGCTCTTCATGCAGGACCACTGGAAAAAGGACAGGTGAAAAATGAAGCTCTACGAGAACTGAGAGTTGAGCTCAGCAAGAAGCACAAAGCACGGGAACTGGATGGGTTTGGCCTTTACCTGTAAGTGTCTACAAGTATTTCTAATGTGTTTCTGTACGTTTATGTGGATCTGCAGGGTTTTATGACTGATTAACTTGATTCACAGGTATGGTGTTGTGTTGCGGAAGCTGGACCTGGTTAAAGAAGCAATAGATGTTTTCGTTGAAGCTGCTCATGTCTTACCTTTGCACTGGGGTGCCTGGCTGGAACTTTGCAACTTGATTACAGATAAAGAGATGGTAAATGTTGGGAAATAACAAGTTGTGGTAACAATTTCTGGACTGTAACCTGATTTAGTAACCAATGATTCAGTTGCCGGAAGATTGGTGTTGCCCACTACTTTATTCTGTGTGGCTGTGTCCAAGAAGGCAACCCAAGGTCATAAATTACATTGTTAAAGTCTCTTTTTCTTCAGTTGCTTGCTATACTGTTGCCTGCGAATCTTTATACAGGTAGGATTATTTCCTTCACATTCACCCACAAGGTGGTGTAAGAAATGGCTGATTCACGCATTCTGAAATAGTTGTCCTCTGGATTATTGCTTTGTGTCACAAAACAGATCCTCCTAAGGTACTTTTTTGTCTGGATCTAGTACTGCAGTTACTGAGCACTTTTGGTGACTTGGTGTTATATGTAGAACCACTGCTTGTAGTGTTTTCAAATGACTGAAAGTTTGTGCTTTTCCTGTCACATACTACTGTGCAAATTATTTGCAATGATACAAATGGTTTGGTAAGCAGTCATTCATCCAAGTAAGCCTTTAATAAGTCTGTTCCTTCACTATTACCAAGTAAAGTATAGTAGTCTTGAATCTGTAATTGGAAATAATTGACTTAGAAGACTCATTGTTTGCACTGAATATGACTTGGAGAGATTACTTTGAACATGCTGTGGTCTGTTTTTGTAGCTTAGACATCTATTAGTAATGGGAGTGTGTCTTTTGAGTTTAGCTTTATCCTAAGAGAATATAGATTGCATACTCTGATAGAGCTTCATGATGTGAAATAAAGCGTGCTTATGGGGGTGACTGAGAGATCTGCTTCTGAAATGCCAATCTGATTCAGACTAAAAGCTATTCCCTTCATCGAATATAGAGCCACATGTATGAGATGAACTGAACTTTGATTATTTTGTCTTTATGCATGGGATTTATGAGACCACTCCTGTAATTCTTCAGTCAATTCTGGCTGATGGCATATTTTAAAAAGGAGAGGTGGCACAGAAGAGTCTTACTGATCTTTGAAGAACAGGAAATACATTTTTGGTGAGATTATTTAGAGTTCTGTTCATTTAGCTCATTTAAAAAACAAAACAATTTAATATTGATGTTCAAACATGGGAAGAAGGTACAGTCTTTTGAAGGACTCTTGAATTTAAAGTAAAAATAAAGCCAGTAACCAAAGCAGAAGCCAGATTTGAAGACAGTTGTTTCTTCACTGATTGGGCAAGGCAAAGGCTTCAGTTCTGATTTCAATCATCATAGGAATAGATTGGGAGTGACTAAATGGAATTACATGGTCCATATTTTACTGCTTTTTAGAATGGATGTCTTAATGCTCCTTTCTTGTTCTAATATTCTTAATTTAAAGGCATTATTTAGCCTTTCCTGTGGACGAAGCTGATATTAATTTCTGGTCCTAATACTGCTCTTTCATAGCTGGTGTTATGGCCTTAGAAAGCACGATTACAGGAAACTCTCCTACCTCAAGACTGCCTACTAAATCATGGGAGGGAAGATAATGGGTTCTTTGCCACAGGTGGCTCTTAGAATACTACTGATTATCATCTCTTCCTCCTCTTCTTTGTTTCTTGCTAGTTGAAGTTCCTGTCCCTGCCAGATACATGGATGAAAGAATTCTTTCTTGCACACATTTATACAGAGCTGCAGCTGATAGAGGAGGCTCTGCAGAAGTATCAGAGTCTCATTGATGCAGGATTTTCCAAAAGCACCTACATCATCTCTCAGATTGCAGTTGCCTACCACAATATCCGAGGTCAGTGGTATTTAATAACATAGAGGAATGAGCATCTTAACACAAGCATGGCATCTGTAGTTGTTGTTCTCACATCTGCCGTTCTTCCTTCAGATATTGACAAAGCTTTATCCATCTTTAATGAGCTAAGGAAACAAGATCCTTACAGGATAGAAAACATGGACACTTTCTCCAACTTGCTGTATGTCAGGGTAAGCACCCTTTCTGTTCCATGTCCATCGTGAGGCTTTTTATCAGAGGTAAGTTAAACACTGGTGAAGCAGCTGCTGTTATCTAGCTTCTCTGAATATAAACACTCAGCTTCTGTTTTCTGCTCCACAACTCCTTGAAATAATATGATCTGTGCATTGTCAACTGCTTAGGTTTTCATTGTCTGAATCTGTAACATGATCCTTTCCTCATCACGTTCACTTTGTTTCACTAGAGCATGAAGCCTGAGTTGAGCTACCTGGCTCACAATCTCTGTGAGATAGACAAGTATCGTGTTGAGACCTGCTGTGTAATTGGTGAGAGCCAGCCCTTTTACGTGTTCTTACTATGCTGTCTGCAGACTGTAGGAGAAAATCTTATTAACACTTGTGAAGGTGATCAACCAGCAGGGCCATCAAAAACATTTGGTGAATGTAATTTCAGGCAGCCTAAAAAGTGTACAAAATGAGGGTACCCCTCATTTTCTCATTTCTCTCTGAAAGAACTGCTGTAATACTATCAGTGCAAAAAGTAGTTGAAGAAAACATTATGAAGGTCCATGTAGCTGATAATGCCTTTATAGTCCTGAAACTACAACAGAAACAATTGTGTGTCAGGTGTAGGAAATCTGCTTATTAGATCATGACATAAGTTTCAACACAAAGAGATGAGATCTTAACTGATTGGTACAACTGGAGAAGCATTTGATCAGAACACTGGAGAACAGACTGCCATTAGGTCTCTTGAGGGTTGAGTCAGAGACCTTTAATACGTCTCTTCTTAGAATCTGAGTTAGGAGGTAATAGATAATACTTCTTCCATCTATTTTTTTTTTACTTCTCTGATGTTTTTTTCCCTATTTATTTAAATATTGTGACTTTTTGCTTTAGGAAATTATTATAGCTTACGTAGCCAGCATGAAAAAGCAGCACTCTATTTCCAGAGGGCCTTGAAACTGAATCCTCGTTATCTGGGAGCTTGGACACTTATGGGACATGAATACATGGAAATGAAGAACACATCTGCAGCTATCCAGGCTTATAGGTATCACTCACGTGCCATACAAAACAGTGTTTGAGTTTGCACACGTTTGAGTTGGATTAGATCTTTTTTTTTGTTGTTGTTGTCTTTTGCTTAACTCTGTCATGTTTCTGATTATAACTGCTTTCTGACTAGTTTGTCTCCTTTTCTTTGACAGACATGCCATAGAGGTGAATAAAAGGGATTACAGAGCCTGGTATGGCTTGGGGCAAACCTACGAAATCCTCAAAATGCCATTTTACTGTCTCTATTATTACCGACGGGCCCACCAGCTCAGGTAGAGTTGAAAACATAGCCATGTCTGTTGGTGTTCTCCCAGACCTGGTGGCTACTAGCTGAGGAATTTGCGTACAGGAACTGAATTGGGGAAGGGGGAAGAGCATCAATGCCATGTGATTTGTGCAGTCTCTCTATTACAAATTCTTCTAGTTGTATTCATTAGCTGTTAGTGGCTTTGTCACTTATATCCTGAGGAACACTGGTCAGGAATCATAGAACCATTAAGGTTGGTAAAGACCTCCAAGATCATCTTGTCCAATCGTTCCATCATCTGGCGAAACTTGAGGCCATTCCCTCTTGTCCTGTCGCTAGTTGTCTGCGAGAAGGGACTGATCCCCAGCTCCCCACAACTTCTTTTCAGGTAGTTGTAGAGAGCAATAAGGTCTCCTATGAGCCTCCTCTTCTCCAGGCCAAACAACCCCAATTCCCTCAGCTGCTCATTACAGGACTTGTGTTCCAGACTCTACACCAGCTTCTTAGCCTTTCTCTGGACATGCTCCAGGGCTGCAGTGTCTTTCATGCAGGGGCTCAAAGCTGAACAACATACTTGAGGTGCAATCATAGAATATCCCAAGTTGAAAGGCACCCACAAGATTCACCAAGTCCAACTCCTGGCTCCTCACAGGACCACCCCAAAATCAAAACATATGTCTGAGAATGTTGTCCAAATGCCTCTTGAATTCTGGAAGGTTTGGTGCCAAGACTACTTTGCTATTCCAATGCCTGAGGAATGTAAGTGAAATTTTATGTAAGAGAAGACGAAGGACACTGGCAGATATAGGTTCTCTCCCCGCAGCCCCTTGAGAAATCAGCTGACTGTCCATTAAACTACATTCAGGAATTGTGTTTTTTTTTTTTTTTTTTTTTTTTTTTTTTACAGACCTAATGATTCTCGTATGCTGGTTGCTCTAGGAGAATGCTATGAGAAACTTAATCAGTTGGTGGAAGCTAAAAAGGTAAGTGATGACTGGCATGTGGAGTAAAACATTAGGATGTCCCCCTGGACACTAGGTGGAGATGGAATAAAATTGTGTGGCTAGAGCTACCAGAAATGCATGCAGCATGTTAGGTTATGGAAACCCTTTCTGTTGCAGTTTAAAACAGGCAAAGTTCTGCTGTGATGTAACTAGAATAGCTCTTAAAGAGAGATGTTCATCTGATACGTGTCCTTTTGCTTTAAAGCCATGCAATTTTCTGTTTCTAAGTTACTTGCCTGAGTCATTTTTCTTGTATGCTTGACTGACTGTTCTTTGACAGTGCTATTGGAGAGCTTATGCTGTGGGAGATGTGGAGAAAATGGCATTGGTGAAACTAGCAAAGTGAGTATGTATTAGTACTGAACTGTCAAAAATGTTGTTAAATGCAACTAAAGCACTTTGATACCAAGTGATAAAATACTAAATTGAAAACAAGTGGAATTGCCGTTAGGTACTATTATTTTTGAAGATGCATAATAACTACTATCTTTAGAAGGTTTACAGCAACTGCACACTCTCTGGTATCCAACTTTAGCTTTAATTTTCCCTCAGAACAGCTACAGAGGAAATCACGGGATAATAGGGGTTGCAAGGGATTTCCAAATCCTGTGGTGATTTTAGTACTAGTAATTGTACGTCTTGCAGTGAAACTTAAACTAATCCAAGCAATTTGTGGTCCTAGATGCTGTAAAAAATTGTAGATTGATTTTTACCCCATTTTTTTCCTAATATATGGATGTGACATTAGAGAAGGGTCTAATGTGAAATAAATGTGAACACTGATGTCAGCATCATTTTTTGGTGGGGGAAAAAGTGAAGGGGAAAGAAACAGGCAGGTGAGAGGTGAAGCTACTGTACAAAGATTTTTGGGATGTAGGGGGGAAGAAGGAGCACTGGAAGAAATAGCCAGTTATAAAAGACTTTTCCTGTCTTATTCTTTAAAATGTAACAGCATAGACAGAAGTTCCTGCTTTGGTTGTATCTGCAGTGCTTCTAGCAGTTGTTACCTGACTGGTTTCCTTCCTGATAATGTGACCGTTCTCAGGCTAGATCACTTCTTTCAATGTGGGATAGTACATGATGCATGGCTTGCAAATTCTTAAGGAAAAGACATAGCTCTAGTTCTGGACAGGCTTAGTAGATACATTCTCATTGACCAAGAAGGTCTTTGGCAATGCAGCGTTGTTCCAGTGACCCATTTTTTCTCCTTTTCTAGGCTGCATGAACAGCTGAATGAATCTGAACAGGCTGCTCAGTGCTATATCAAATACATTCAGGATATCTATTCCTGTGGGGTAAGATGATATCTTGGGAACAAAAGAAAATGTAAACGCGATGTAGAGCTACCTTGGAAGATACTCAAAGGTGGTTTTTCCTCCCTTTCTGTAGGAGATAGTGGAGCACCTGGAGGTCAGCACTGCCTTCCGTTACCTTGCCCAATACTATTTCAAGTGTAAGCTCTGGGATGAAGCCTCAGCTTGTGCTCAGAAATGCTGTGCATTCAATGATGTGAGTAGTTGCACAATCTCTGGTGTCTTGGGGGATCTCTAACGTTAATCTTGGCTATACTTGTAGGTATGAGTAGACAAATCATTTGTTGAAGGAATGAGGACTGTCTGTCATACATGTGAACAGTCTCATTCTGAATGTTTTTGTATACCTGATTACTACTGCTGCTTGTGATTAACTAAAGTCAGGGAATATAGTATAGATAGTAAACTCGAATCAAGTATCATTGGTTTGTTGTTGACTAAGTATAAGAATTTGAGACTGCAGTCTTAAGACTGCTGAAAATCTTGATGGTGGGAAGTGGTTAAATGTTACTTGTTTTTTCATCTTGTATGTGTAGACAGTACAGAGGTTACAACAGCACTTGAGTTCTATATGACTCCATGTTCTGAGCTTTTCTGTAGCTTGTAAGGGGGCAATTTTGGATTTTTATTTCAGACTAGTAGCTAACAGCCACAAGACAGGGTGTGTGTCTTATCTTTAATAAAGCTGTCTGGAACAAAGAAGAACCTGAATTCAGCTTATTTGTATCTTTTCCTTTCTACTTTTCGATGGGTTATGTAGACAGTAGCAGTTGTTGATGGTACCACTGTCACAAGTAACATGCAAATCAGATGAGTAAAAAGAGGAAGGATTATTTAAAAAAAAAAAAAAAGTAGCACATTAATGTTCTTGATAAATAGCAGAAAAAGAACCGAGGACACTTTTTTTGTATTTTTCAGAGTGACAGTCTTACTGAGTGATAAATTGGTGTAACTTAGGTTGCTTACATACTGAGTTTGACCCAGAGAAAATCCATACATAGATGTGTTGTTTTGTTTTTTACAAATTATTTTCCAGACTAGAGAAGAAGGAAAGGCCCTTCTGCGACAAATCTTACAGCTTCGCAACCAAGGAGAGACCTCATCCACAGAAATTGCCGCTCCCTTTTTCCTCCCTGCATCATTGTCAGCTAATAGCACTCCCACACGTCGTGTCTCCCCACTCAATCTGTCTTCTGTTACACCTTGAACAATGCTGATACCTCTAACTTGTGCATTGAATGTGATGTTGCAGATGGGGTTTGCAACCACATAGTTCTTTCCGGTGAAATTTTTACATTCAACGTTGCCTTCACGTGAAGGGTTAGGAGTTACCAGAGTCCACAGCTGAAGAAAGATGTGTCCAAACAGGCAAAGGTGCAGCCTACATGAAAGTGCCTATGCTGAGATGTGAGCATCTGCCGTACTTCTCACAAAGTCATTCCAGTCAGTGGGCAGATGTGTTCTAATATACTGGACTACTAACTGAGGGACTGGGAAGAAATTGTCTGCTTGAGTTAAAATGTATTAGAAGTTTGACTGCGCCCTGTTAACTCTGGTCTTTACTGAACTTCTTTGGATGACCTCTTAGTGGTATTGTTGCTGCGTACATCAGAAACTGTTACCTGCCTGGCTGCTTAAGAACTTTTGCCTGTCTCAAACTACACAGAAGTTCCACTAAAGTGTTATGAGGCACTTAGATATAGTTGGCATTTCTATGTTGAAGGACTGAAGTGTCAGGAATCTCAAGTAGCCACAAGTGACAGCTGTTTGTTCTATCTGTGATTTTTGACAGATATTTTGACTTTGAAAAGAAAGATAGCCAGTGGGATAGCACAATTAAAAAAAAAAAAAAAACAAATGATTCAGCTACTGTCGTTGGGCTTTTTTGTGATGTAGATTTGATGGGTACTGTAGCAAATTAAATTGGATGAACCATCATTTTAGGACTGTCAAATGTGGTGGATGATGTGATGTGGGGGGTTCCTTTCTTCCAAGTCTGCTGAATACCAGGGTAATGCTTGTCCCTCTTCATGCATCCAGCCAATGGTAAGGCTAAGTGATTTTCAAAGATGTATGCACATGCCCATGTAGTACAGATATGACCGTAACCGAATGGTTTAAAGCCAATAAGAGGATAGTGCCTTTAGAGATGCACTTGCTTAAGACACAAACCATAGAAATGGCCCGATCCTCTTCCTACTTGCTGGTTTATCAATTTGCTAGTGGAACATACATATTTGCTTTCAGTGTCTCATGCACATTCTCTGTTCTCTTCAGTCCCCAGCCAAGACCTTAGGTGTCTTCAGTATCCGTATCTAGACCTTTAAGCTCTCAACCCTGGAACTAGGATCTCTACAGATTTTGTTTTTCTCCAACTTGCCAGCTAGTCCCACTTGAGATTGCTGTTGGAATTATTGCACACACATGCACACAAATGCATCCAGTGCAGAAGACAGGTTGCCCTAGGGTTTAGTAAGTGTAGAACACTGTGGTGATGGGATGCAAGGCTCAGTTAGACAAAGCTTACTGATCAGCAGCCTGCTTGCTTGCAGTTGTTAGCTTCTCCCCATTCCCAACACAGTTACTCCCTTCCATTTTCCCATACTTGTTGCTTCCTCGCCTATCTTCACCCCCCTCACTTGATCTGTGGTTGTTCCCCTAGACATTCTATGATACATTTTATGTGGTCCTGCAATCCCCTTCAGACATCTTAACATAAATTTGCTCTTGCCTGTGAGACCCTTCCTGATAACTGAAACCAGTCTTACTGGTTACAAAGCTCCTGATTGAATCTCTTCAGAGTTACGCTTTGGTGGTTCCTTTAATGGCCAATCGACCTATGTCTTAGAGTGCTAGCCATGATTATCTGTCAGTAGGCTTTTAAATATGTGTGCATCTTTTGCTGCATTTCATGTTTATTGTCCTGTCTTTTACACTCAGTAGCTGTAACACAGATATCCTTACACGTGTATGTGGTTTGTTCACACTTTCACTAATGTAACGAAGGATAGAAGTTAATAACCCTGCTGACTTTGACTTGAATCGTCTTGCTCATTGACAGTTAGTACCCTTCAAAAACAGTGTTTGTGTTTTACCTGCATGGGAGGAATGTCATGTTGCTTTGAGAAGTGAAGAACAACCAACAGTTCAGGGTATCAGTTTGATTGATGACCTTGAACGACTTCAGCTGAATCTTTCAGTTCTATTCAGTTTCACCTTGTAAACTTGATATGACCTGGAGGTATTTTTAAAAGTACTTGAGACTTGTGCACATTTTTGACTATGAATATATGTTATGAATAATCTGCAAATGTTCTTTTTCCTTGCTAAACAGGCTCCAGTTTCCTCAGGGCTATCCAACAGTGCAGTCTCCAATGTATTTTGTAATTGTTTGAAGATTTCCTTACAAGGAAATATTCCCAAGTTTCAACTGACTGTCTTTTAATGAGGATTGTCCAATCTCTGGTGCTTACAAAGGTCCTGCATTAAATTCATTGTCTGGTTGTCACTGTGGGAGTCTGCCTATAAGGATTAATTTACAGACACCAGATCTGAATACTAGAATTGCACTGAGCTGATACGATGCTTGCTGAGTTTCCAGAAGGCTTTCAACACCAGGAAGATCAGTAATCTTGGTTTCTCTTGATGCGGAGGATATTTCTTCCAGATCCATGTATTTTAAATACTTACTTACAAAAGGTGCTGTAGAGTTGGGGAATTAATGTCTAAGTTTGGTTGTGAGGATACTAAACAGCCCAGGAAGAACTGAACTCATCATTTTGTCTCCCTTATCCCCAACAGAGATAATGGCACTTATTGCCAAGTTCAGAAACTTGTATTTGGTGAAAATGTTCTGATTGGTAAGTCTGCTATGCTATGCCAGTTCTGGAAATATGAAAATCCTTGGTGATAATCACATTAGTTGTGCAAGGTGGGAGTGGTTCTTTAAAAATAAGGCATAAACTACACATAGGTAGAGGTTACTGTCTTAAGCCTGAAAATTCAATGGGACTTCCTTGTTTTGGAATATGGCCTATTGGTATGTTTAGAATACCAAGCCAGTCTACTAGTTTTCTAGTATAATACATAGCATTAAAGCGTCCAAGTTGCAAACATTGGTGACATAAGGAAAATCAGTAGTTTCTAGCAACAATTAATGATCAGTTCTTGTGCCACCTAAACAGCAAGTTTAATGTACGTTACACAACTCATGCAGCAGAACAAATGTGCTAGTTCTGTCTTTCCCTTCTGGTAAAAGAAATAAGCTTTATATTTATCATAAACAATTATTACCTTGGAAAGTATTATAATACAGGAGGCATTGAAGAGCAACTTTCAAACTCTACATGCTTTTGAGGAATGATCGTGATTATGTAGAGCTACTACTGTTTGTTTCTTGATACTTTGTGAGCATCTGCATGGAAATATTTGCATTTTATTCTGTTACTATATTCATAGATCTCTAAAGGAGATACTGGTTTTTAACATCAGTCACATCTACAACTTAAAGTCATGCATCATAGGATTGCATTTTGGAAATAAACTGGTTTCTAAATAGGTATGAGTGTTCTGCAGTACTGACTTGCACAATCTTCCTTCTACATTGTTTTTGTCCTTGTTCAGTCATAGTACTGAAGTGTTCATCTCTCCTCAAGTACTGTGCTTAACATGCTTGAAAGGTTGTTACTGAAATCAGCAATACTATTAGTAGGTCTAACTACATCTCTTCAATTTATCCTCATTTGGGGGATCATCCTGTAAAACAAGCCATTTTGTGTCTTGGCGTTCAGCTTCAAGTGTTAGGATGTAAAGCATGAGCAACCCTGTAAAATGAGGGTAGGATGTGGGCTCATCAGACCAGGCTGCCTTTCCTGCCTTGGAGAAGTTTAGATCCATAGTCTTGGCTTGCCTTGATACACTGGTATTTCTTAGGAGAACATTACACTAGACAATGTCTCTGACCTCCAGCCAGAGTGAGAGAATGGGGATAGAGTGGCTGTGACAGTCCTGGGTGTCACTTCCATATCACCAGCAGCAAGAATGGGCAATACTGCAGCCTTGCCTCCTAAGAAGCCCACAGACAGAAGGGGACTATTTTGAAGCTATTTTGCTGTTTGCCGCAGGAGCCCATAGGACACTGTATGGAGCTTGCCAGATCCATCCTGTTAGGCTAATTTTGTAGACTCTGTGCTTGCAGGCCCAGAGGAATCATGCTGCTTTATACACCTTTATAATGTTTGTAGTAGTTTTTTCCCTTTTCCATATACTTCAGACCTTCCATTTATCTAGTACAACCACTGTACTAGTCTTTAAAAAGGCCATTTCCAGAGCTATATATTCAGTAAAAAAAAAGTCATGAAAAATCAAACATTTATGCTAAACATAATCAGGCAGCAGCTTTTAAAACTTTTTAAACGGGACTTTGCTTTATTTTGGGCATTGAGGTTTTCTTCAGCCACTGTATGTGTTAACTGCCCCTGGGGAATTTCTTATGAAAACCCTAATTTTGTAAAGACCGTTTATAGCATCTTCCACTTAGATCTCTTAGAGTTTGTCATGTGGCAAGTGCTTTTCCTTTTGAGTCAAGCTCAGGTGTGTGAGGACATAGTTCATGTGAGGTTGAACTGAGGAGCTTATTGCATTATTTGGTAAGTGTAATGCTAAACTATATGCACCTAATGCTCATGTCTCTAGTATCATGTTACAGATCCCACTGAATTAAAGGAAAAAAATCACTGAATCTGTTGCACTGCTCTGAGGAAAATTAAGCTGGGACTGACTGCTCTGCCATCAGCTGGGCATACGCTGCCTGCCTCTTTACTCTGAGACCTTTGTTTCCACGTTTCTAGTGCTGTTTTTTCCTTTTTTCTTCCTGAAGGATTTAATGGTAGAAGCTGGAAACACTGACACTTAAAGTAAGGATTGGCAGCTGGATAGTAGGAGCTCTGATGGAATTTGGTACTAAGGGTGGATGACTCAAAGTTCAGTGTCTTTGTAACTATTTGTTTTCTTATTTTGTCACTGATGCACCAGGAAGATGCTTCATAGAGTGGAGATAATCTGCAAATCCAGTAGCTACCTAAGCCATCTTCTAGTTTTCAAACATAGAAGCATAGAATATCCTGAGTTGGAAGGGACCCTTAAGGATCATCAAGTCCAACTCTTGACACTGCACAGGTCTACCCAAGTTCAGACCATGTGACTAAGTGCACAGTCCAATCTCTTCTTAAATTCAGACAGGCTCGGTGCAGTGACCACTTCCCTGGGGAGCCTGTTCCAGTGTGCAACCACCCTCTCTGTGAAGAACCCCCTCCTGATGTCAAGCCTAAATTTCCCCTGCCTCAGCTTAACCCCGTTCCCGCGGGTCCTGTCGCTGGTGTTAATGGAGAAAAGGTCTCCTGCCTCTCGACACCCCCTTACGAGGAAGTTGTAGACTGCGATGAGGTCTCCCCTCAGCCTCCTCTTCTCCAGGCTGAACAGGCCCAGTGCCCTCAGCTGTTTCTCGTACGTCTTCCCCTCCAGGCCTTTCACCATCTTCGTAGCCCTCCTCTGGACACTCTCCAACAGTTTCATGTCCTTTTTATACTGTGGTGCCCAGAACTGCACACAGTACTCGAGGTGAGGCCGCACCAGCGCAGAGTAGAGCGGGACAATCACCTCCCTTGACCTACTAGCGATGCCGTGCTTGATGCACCCCAGGACACGGTTGGCCCTCCTGGCTGCCAGGGCACACTGCTGGCTCATATTGAACTTGCTGTCTACCATGACCCCCAGATCCCTCTCTGCTAGGCTGCTCTCCAGCGTCTCATCTTTGTTTCCTGCACGTTGGTGTGCTTAGATAAACAGACCAACCCAAGCGTGTTTGTCTTCAGTTGGCCCACAAAAAGAACAGCCTGTTTTTGCAGAAAAGCTGATGCTTTATCTGACCAGGCTTAGCAGCCACGTTTGTGTTCTGTGTAAAGCGCCAAGAGGACAACGACTGGAATTCTTGATGCGTTTACTAGCGGTAGCCTACCGACCTCTTTCAGGGATACCCCTGTCAGTATCCGGAAGGATGGAGACGAGGAAGCACCTGAAGAAACCGAGGAGGATGTGCTTCCGCGCCCGTTGCTCTCACGACTGCCTCACCGAGGCTTGGACCACACACACAAGCAGGAGAGCGGGCGGCTTATTCGGGCGTGCGGACAGCTCCCGTTATGTCAGCCTGGGCCGGAACGCGGTACCGCCGAGGTTCGTGCCCGCCCGCCGCACCCCCCCGCGGGCAGGCTGCCGGTGCCTGCCGTTGGGCGGCTTTGCAGCCCGCGGCGCCGTTCCGCGGGGGGAGGCTGCAGCGGGGGGCTCCGAGCGCGGCCGCCCGCCCCCGCCGAGCCCGCTGCGCGGCGCCGACCCGCGCCCGAGCGGCGCGGACGCTGCCCCGCCGGGCCGGTTGCGCGCGGCCCAAGCAGCCGGCTGCGGTGCCCGCTCCGCCAGGGAGCCCCCGGCCCGCTCCCTGCTGCCGGCACGGGGCCGCTCGGCCGCGGCGCGCGCCGCCGCAGCCCCTTCCCGCCGCTCCGCCGCTTCCTCCCCTCGAGGCCGCTCCCGCGGCTCCTCCGCCGGGGCCCGCGGCCCCGCGCCCCTTCTGCCGCGGCGTTGCCATGGCGGCGGGCGCGCGGCGCTGCGGCGGCGGCGGCGGCGGCGGCGGCGGCGGGGCGGTGCCTGCCGCAGACCCCGGCCCGGCAGCGCAGGCCTCCGCCGCGGGGAGGCGGCGGGGCGGGCGCCCGCCCTCAGCGTCGGCGCGCAGGAGGCCGGCAGCGGCCGGGGCTGGGCGCTGGAGCCGCCGCGGCAGCGGGAAGATGGATGCGCCGCGCCCGTGCCTCGCCGCTCAGCATCCTCCCCGGGCCGCGGCACGGTGAGCAGCGGCGGCCTCCCGGAGGGGCGCCGGGCCCCGCGCAGGGGCTGCCCGCTCCCCCGCCGCCGGAACAATGGCCTCGGCCGGCTGCGGGGGCCGGGGCGAGGGCGGCGGAGCGGGGCTGGGCCGGGGCGGCGCGGTGCGGAGCGGTGCGATGGCGGTGAGACGGAGGCCGAGGTGATGGGGAGGAGGCAGGCGGAGATGCTGCAGCGGAGAGGAGGCAGAGATGGAGATGGTGGAGAGCAGGCAGAGGGAGAGGTGTGGCGGGATGCCGCCGGCAGCCGTGCCGACATCCACCTCTGCCGCTCTCCCGTCCTGCACCATTGTGTGCCAGGTTGGTCATTGTCTCGCCTTCCTCACTGCAAAGCGCGGCGTGCTGGGCGTGATTCTGCTTGCAGCGGAAGGAATTTTTCCAGGGCTGAATTTGATGCGCGGAGAGTCACAGCCAGCAGAGCCTGGGCTGGGCCTCAGTGAGATGGCATCTGCGGGTGGGCAGTAAGCGCAGCTGAGCGGAGAGCAGCTGTAAAGGCACTCCCCTGGTTTATTTTTACTCGCGATGCATCTTTGCCTATTCCGTTTGTTTGTATAAACGGTATTGCACAAGGCTTCTTTCTGAGCAAGTCTTTTCAGAAAGGCACCTGTACACGTCTTGGACTCTCAGGGTTGGTGTATTTGTGGATGTGTGTATGAATACATGCTCCTTTGCATACAGAGACCCCACAAGCTGCATCTCTTTGTATGTGCAACACGTCTTTTTTTTTTTTCCAGTCATTAACCGATGAAACATGCCACTTGGGCTGATGTGCAATTTATTCTTAAATTACTGGATGCTGTCGTTCACTTTGTTATGGCTACTTAAGACAAATCTAGGTCTTGCATTTGAGCTGTGGGTTTTTTTTTTTTTTTTTTTTTTTTTTTTTTTTTTTTGTGGCATCGAATAGTCATTTGTAGTCTGTTTCTATTTTTTTTTTCTGTGAATATGTATAAATGTATATATATATATATATATAAGGTGCTGAGTATCTTATAGGCTAGAAACAGAGAGGTATATGTTTTAAAAGATTAATTTGACCTTTTGTAAGGAAAAATATAATGGGATGCATTGTTACAACCTTTGCGTTGTGATACTGCCCTATGTATTACGCTGAGGTGACATGCTGCAATCTCATTCTCTATGTCTCGTTTGCTGGGTCAAATTCTTCACTTGTGCATATACTATACCTAGTCTTACTAGACTTACTATGCCCAGTTTAGTAAGCAGAGCATTTGTCCATTTCAAGAAATGATGTTAGGTTTATTGCTTCTGCTCTGTCTCAGGTTTTGTTTCTATTGATCTGGCCTGCTGCTCCACAATATGAATTTCAAATCTGGATCTTTTGTGCTGTAAATGTAAGCTTTCCTGGCACTTGACCAGATTTAAATTTGTGCTTGAGTGAGGTAAATCTGTGGTGATTCTAACAGGTTTTCTGGGAATGGTTGTGGTATTGGTGAAGTCTGAGAGTAGTTAGCTGTTAATTGTTGAAGAGGAAGTAGGGTATGGGTGCTCTATAAATAGATTTGTAGCAATCAAAAGACACCATGGACCAAAGAGATGTGATGAAGTTAAGGGGGCTGCAGCCAGTTCCACCCTTACTTACACAGTGAACAAAATCCTGAGAAGGAGGCCCGGGGCGAGGAAAGGCTGGAAAGTTTCTGTTAGGATTTCCATTGGAGTTGCCTGGTAGAGGTGGCTGCCAGGAGCTGTTGCTCTGCTGTTGGGCTTTGCTGCTTTTCAGCACTGGGGCAATCCAGTAGACTGCTGGGATTGCCTGGTCATCAGCAGAGCTGAAGGAGCAGGCTGCCACTGATGGATGCTACATCATTTCTGACTTGCTGATCTTGGACTGAAAATCTGTTAGTGCCTCAGGTGCAGAAACATGGTCCTGACCTTGGAGATGAATTTGAGCCAGGTATTTTTACAGTGTCCATCCAGAGCTTAACTTTAGTCTGTGTGATATCGCAAATACTAATGAACTGTCTCAGTCTCCCTTCTGATAACCTTCTCCCTGTCACCTTTCAGTGGTTTGTGATGATTCCTCTGCTTCCGTTGGCCGTTTCCAGCTAGATCTTTTGATTAAGAACTACTTTGTGCTACTTATTAGGAATTGAACATAAGGTACAGCTAAAACATGGTTGTGTGTAGGGAAGACAAGTGGCAGTTGTCATTCATAAATGTATGGTGGGATATGCTAAACCATTTATTTTCGAGGCTTTAATGTTGCTGGAAAGATGCAGCATAACTTCTCTGCCATTACACAGGATGAGTGACCTCAGGGTATTCAAGAAAAATGCCGTGAAACATAACTGGCAAAATGAATCATTTTCAATTTTGATCTCTATTCATCCATTCAAGAGACAGTTGCTACTGTGGTTTCAAAACTGTATAAAAACAGCCTTCTAACTGTAAAAGTATGGTGTTGGATTGTAGTCTCATACGATATAGCTCAAGTGTAGCTTGAGTGGTTGAAATTCAAGTAGTTGTAAATTTTATATATATATATATATATATATATATATATTTTTTTTTTTTTTAACTGAGCTATGGGACTGAACATGTTTACAACTAGTCTTTCGCTACTGAGTCATGGTCAGTGTGCACTGTGGTCAGCGTTTGTGCTTTCTGCTTTCTTCATGAAATTGTGACACAGCAAATAGTCCTTACTAGATACCTGAATTTTGGGTCACTTTTTAGTTTGTTGTATTTTTGGGGTTCAGACAGGTTTCTCTGTCATCTTTGTGCATGGCAATGCAATATTTGGGTTACAAGATTACAAAACAAATGCTTAAATTCAAGTAAAAAGGTTATTTTAGCTGAATTTGCAATGGCATGTTTGCAATGTGTGTTTCTAAACTAATAGCTCACTTTAATTCCCAGGAAGTAGCTTTTTCAACGTTCTCACGTACATCTGTATCACTTGAAAATCTGGTCTATACCAGATCACAACAATCTTGTCCTCCCATCCTCAGAGATGGATTCTCTGATGCCTTCTCTTTAGTCATCATCTACATCTGTGCAAAGCTGAAGTGTAGCTCTGTGTCATCACCTTTCAACATTCAGAATCCATGAGGGCATTAAAATGTCATTTATGCAGTACTTCTAGTTTCTGTATCTTTAAGGTCTATTTGAATTTCTCCTTTAAAATATGAGGACTAAAAAACTTTTCCCAATTTAATTTCTTTGCTCCAGGAGGTGGGGCTCTAAATAGAAAATTAATCAGCATGTCATGAGAAAACTCTGTGGTCTATCCACACTGAATGCTGTCAAGTTGAAATGAGTGTATTTGGCAATGTCTTTGTACACAACAGAAAAACTGTGTTGATCACAGCCTGCAGATTGGATTCTGAAATATCCAATGAACTTTAAAGGAAAAATAACAACATGCAAGCACTTTCACGAATGCAGGCTTTCAGTTCAGATCCCTAAAATTCCTGTTGTTGTATGATTTGTTTGCCATGAATTTGGATCACTGGCGGTTAGTTGAGAAACCGTCACACATCCTGGAAACTTTAGGGCCTGTTTTGTTTATTTGGAAGATCATATTTGGACATCACAGCCTGTTCTTATGTTAAATAGCCTGAATCAGCTATTGTCGGAATAAAAGCAAAGTGAACTAATTGGTGTGACAATCTACATAACATAGTTAAATGAGAAAGAGGCAAATGCAGAAACTATTTTAGTACATGGCTGCATAATGAGAAACCCCTCAGTTAACTGTTTAACAGATGTCAACAAATAATGAATACAAATGAAGACTGGGTGGACCACATTCATATCATACCATATCATACATCATACATCATATATCATATCATTTCTAACTAGATAAAATATCCCTGTGATTAACAATAAAGCAATCTAAGGTACCTGAGGAAATGGTTTAGATAGAACAGCTGCTATGGTAAGCCAGGTCTTCTGTAATGTTATAATTTGTGACCTCAGATTGAATATATTTTATCAAAAATAATGAAATGACTGATTTAAATTAATTGATAACTGCTGATGCTAAAGTGCAAGTTTTCTCTCATTTTCACATTATGAATTCCTCCTATCAGCACCAGGAAGGTATTATCTTCCAGTTACTGGTTGACACTTGTACTTCATTTGTTAAACTATTTGTTGTATTTTGTTGAAAACATTTATTATAAAATTTTTTTAAGCAGCTAGGGGGAAAGAATTGTTAAGCCTTACATTGCATGGGCTGTAAATAAAAGCCATCCAAATGTCCAACTTAAAATTGCATTGAATTCCCAAATTAGCTTAGAGTAATCAATTATGAGTGATCAAATGAAGTTGAGAGAAATGGTAGAGTCAGAGCTTCTGGGCATCTTTTTCCTCCATGTGCACTAGTTTACTGAAATTCACTAAGTTGATTTTCTTTTAAAATTGATGCAGAAATATTTTTCATTATTCATTTCTATAGTGCATGCAAAATCCTTGGATTGCAAGTGATAGATAGAAATTAATTATAATCAATACTGTATTGTTTTGCATGTATTTGTTGTAGGATTGGTTTACAAATATTGCAGTGAAGAATTAAAAAAAAAATTGTATTAATACACAATATGCAATTACTTTTTAATTATATTTTCATGAACCCAAATGCTATTTTTGTTTCTGAAGTTCTATTATTCATAGGTAAAACATTTTTTTTTTTTTTTTTTACCCAGTGTTTATTTGTACTTAATATTCAAGGTTCTCTGAGCTGCTATTTTCTGCCAATGTGTATTGGTGAGGAACAAAATGAGATGCAGTCATTTTTGGAGAATCATCTAGGAGTATCTGCTCTAATTTCATATGACACTTAGTAACGTCCCTTTTCCATTTTCTGTCCATGACTGGAAATTATAGTCAGTTATAGTCACTTTCAGAAAAATGAAGAATGTTTGGGCACTTTTGCACTTGAAGAACATTTAATAATCTACAGCTGAAAGGACAATTGTGTTAGTTACTATTTGGTTGC